ATTAACTGGAACAATAACGGATACAAAGACAAGTAGTTTACGAGCAGTTGAATCACAAAACAAAGATCTCTTGATACATAAATTGAATTAGTATTCGTAGCAAAAACATGATGTTACACTTTAAAAATAAAAGAAAATCTGAAAGGTTTCAGATTTGAAATTACGTCCAAAGGGGCGTTTTTTTTAACATTTTTTGTGAAACCTTTATTTATTAAATATCATGTGTAGAGTCCACTTGACCCTCTCCCGCCACCCAAATTTGGATTCCTGCGTCCCGCTTTGACTTCCGGAAAATCTGATCACATTTCGCTTGATTGTGACATCAATTTAGTCACGTCTGGCTTATAATTAGATAAGACAAGTATAAGCATCTGAATTTTTGATGATCAAGCTGCTCTCTACCTTACTGAAAATAAATTTCGTTCGTTCGCATTTATAAATTGAAGAGAATGCGGACCAAATGGCAAAGGCAGTTTTTTGGATTATGGATCGGCTTTGTCAAACGTATCAATTTCTCCTTGAAATTATGTTATAATAATTACTATTTTTTTAAAATAAAAATACATCTGTGTTATTGTAACTTTGTAACTAAACAAGAATATTATTGTCATTAGTTATTTTCGGTTTATTTTTTATGTATTTTTTCGGTGTTCGTTTCATGTTTATGTTTTATAATTTAAATTTATGTATTCGGAACTCAACTAGGTCACATGAAATTATGAAATGGGTCATTTTGGTGACCTGCGAGTCAAGGGTTGCAGGGACCTGGTGTAGCCTTTACTGATTGCGCAATACAATACATTTGTCATTCTTTGAAACATCATAAATGTTACCATGGAATTGTTGTTTATCTTCTGGATATGTCCACAGTGAAATTACGGACTCACTTTAATCACAATATAGATTATAACATGAGTTTTTCAGAATTCAAATCAACGGTAACCATTACAATGATTCAAAGGGTTCACATAAAAAAAATCAATGATAATTGTTTGCAAACAATGATGTGAACAACACCTGAAAGATCGACGGATTAAAATTGTTTCTGAAATGAGACAGCTAAACAGATGACTACAGAGGCTGTTCACACACTTTTCAGACGAAAGGTTGGCAAGAAAGTAAATTCAGTTTGAAAAGTAACTAGCGTTACGTTCGTTTTAATACCCTTTTGTCCATTATATATATATATTTTTCCTTCTGAGATTTGGCAAGTGTTATTTTACTTTAAATTTAACGTCGAATTCAAAAATAAACATATCTGACATACTTTACTTTTCTATTTTCATAAAGGCAATAAGACGGCTGAGGCTCCCACAGAAATATGTGAAGTTTATGGTAATGGTTGTTTAACAAGATTCATGTGTCAGAAATTATATTTTATTCTGAAGATTTTTCACTTGAATATACTAACACTCTAGCCGACCTTCTGAGATTATGATGCCAAATTAAAGCCATAATTGGATCGAATCGTCATAAAACTGTGCTAGCGATTGCAAAAAGGTTAAATGTATCATACATAACAGCTGAAAATAACACGTCTTGGACTCGTTAAGAAGCTCCGTGTTTGGGTTCCGCATAAATTGAAAGAAATTCGCCTAGCACTATAAGGTATTTCTCCCGCCTTCGTAGTGTAGTGGCCTGCACGCTGGGCGCGTATTCCAGAGGTCCGTGGTTCAATTCTCGGCGAGGGCTTTGCTCATTTTTCATCACTCCTGCTTTAAAAATAACCTAATGACTCTGCAGTGGCGCCCGAACTAAAAGGGTGGTGGATGATGATTCTACACACCCAGAATTTGGCGACTGTGTCCCCTAAAAACCAAAATCGTCCTTTAAAAGGGGGAGCATATAAAGTATTTCTCCCGCCTTTTTAGCATACCTTCGTAGTGTAGTGGTCTGCACACCGGCCGCGTATTCCAGAGGTCCGTCGTTCAATTCTCAGCGAGGGCGTTGCTCATTTTTCATCACTCCTGCTTTAAAAATAACCTAATTACTCTACAACACAATGAATCAATATTTGCGATAATGCAGTACAAAGCAAAGATATGCATGCTAATTACTACCCATTAATTGGTAAGTGACCCATTAGATGCAATATAGCTGGTAATGTTCCCAGTTTTCGTTTTCAATAAATAGGCTTTATCTTTGTGTTTCAATCAGTTCGAGAAAGAATAGTCACCATAGATTCAGTACAGAACACTATAACGTGCTACATAATACAGAACGGCCGCCGCTGAACATACGGATGAATTTTTGACACGGAAAATTTTTCCAGCATAGTGTGAGGACAACTGGGTAAAAGAATATGTGAAGTTTTGCTCTTTTATAAAATATGGACAGTGAAGAAAATTTTTCTCACTAGTGTGAACTTCTTTTTGTCCAAAAAGAATTTCTCCCAAGATACGTATGACTGCAAAGCAATGTCCCTTATAAAGAATGTCCTAAGTCTTGGAAAAGATTTAAACAACGCACATCACACCATTTAGAAGAACGAACTTCATTTGTTTTAATTCTGGAACAAAACAAATCATAAAGCATAAAAAGCAGCCATTTCCTAAAAGACGAATCACCTGCCTAGCTCCATACTCTTCCTATGAATAGCAAAAGTTTCAATGTCAAAAAAGTCAAAGAACTTCAATGGAATCAGAGAACTCATATAAATTCTTTGACTCTCACGGACACACAATAGGTTTTTTTTAAGGACACCATATGGTATTGTAAAATTTTGTGTCGTCTGTTTTTCCGGGAATTAGCTATTGAACCTGTCTTGCATAGCCTTTGTTTAGCATAGAGATTCCCAACCTTTTTCTTGCATCGACCCCTTTCAAAAGAATGGTTTTCTTTACCAAAAAGAATGTTCAAATGGTTCAAAGAAACAGGCTTAGATTTTGCTTTCTTCGTATTTTTTTATTATATTTTCTTTTCTTTCTTGTGTTTATTGTGTTTTACTTGTTTAAAACATAATTTATAAATAGTTCATTTTGTCGCCGAACCGGTATAGTGGTTAGCGTCTCTGACTGCTGTGCCAAAGGACCCGGGTCCGACTCCCGAAGAAGGCATGGATGTTTGTAAATGTATATTTTTCGTGGGTAATAGTAGCACTCTAAGTATGTGCAAGTCCTCTTGAGTGGTTGTTGGTAGACGAGGAAGGGTGGAAGACCCTCGGACCCGTCGCCTCCCGGGGTGCTCTGCATCAAAATTGGGGGCGGAACTGAGCTAAATCTCATTGTCACCTGTAAGGTGCTCAAGGCTGTTGCCAACGTCAGGCGTAAACTTGCGATCTTGCCTCAAGGAATTTCATGGGCTTGGGCTAACTATTGGTCAGACAAGTGAGCATTAGCAATAACAACAACAACTTAAATTTTATAAAACTGGCAAATTTCTTTCTTTTATGTTCTTTGCAGTAGGAAATGTCTAAAGTATGTGTAAAACTGCGTAATAACAAACTTTTATTCAAATGGTTCTATCGTTCTAAGGCCAAAATTAACTCCAGTTAAAAAAACGAAAAACAAAACTAATGATCTACTGCTATGGGAGGTTGATTCAGGATTTTTAAATAAACTACTATAAGGTGAAACATGTCATACAAAAGAAAAAGTTACAGTATAGTAAATCTTGGAGGAAATAACTCACTTGGGATGCTCAGATTGTAAGGCATTTTCTCTCTCATTACAGCGTGCCTTCATGACATAATCATAAAGCAAGTTTGGCTAGCATTCGGAAAGTAAGAAAGTGCATTATTGATTTTCTCAGATTTCGAACTCTTAAATACTAAATGACCCTACAAGTGGCGCCGAGCAGTTTGTGGGCCATAATTTTTCACCATCAGGATTTGGAGATTGGGTCCCAGCCTGCCGAGTCGCTCTTTGAATGGGAAAGAATGTAAGGACTTTTCCCCTGCTCTCCACGTGTCTTCGTTATGTAATTGGAAAGGACGGCATATTAAAATCGGAACGTCTGGAGTTCGAATTTCGGGAAACTCAATGTACATTCTGATTTTTCCTGATTTCAAAAATTCTAAAAGATTCTGCAACATGTGTTTCTATTAGTCTGAAGAGCAACGTATGCAATTAATTGTTATTGATTTGAAATGAACAAAATAGTACAAACACTTAAAGAAAAATTAATTTAATTTTTGTTCTTCGTTCCCGAATAAGTTAGTTTTTTTTAATGCATAAGCATTTAAAAAAGCATTTCTTTAGTGTGTGAAATTTCTTTAATTAAATAACAATTCATTTTATGATTTATATCTTTACTGTCACTTCTATGTTTCTGTTTGCTTTCCAGAATGCAAATTAGTTAGTGTGTATTTAAGTAAGGGTTTGAAACTGTTAAGACGGAGCGTATTCTGCCTGTTGACGGCTACGATACTAGACTTGCTATTCTGAAGTAAGAGTTCCTGTTTTCGGCCTTGCATTAATGCTTCCCGACAGTTCAATTCACGCCGGTGAAGTAAGAGCCAACGTCGCGTTAAATTACTCTGTGTAGACTTTGGGTAATAGTTATTTAAATTTAGCTTTACATTTGAATTTCTACTCTGCGCTTTCGCAACTAATGATGGTGGATTTGTAAGCATGAGAAGTGCCCTCTCATCATCTTCTTCAGCTTAAATAAATGGTCTTTTACACTCCTCTCACGTTCCTGTTGTTACTTCAGACTTAGCGATAAGTCACTCGTCTACCAAACGGCTGGTCACAAGTTACAATGGTAAAATACTTAGAGACTTGTATAAGGTATTTTCTCCCTCCTTTCCGCATGCCATCGGAGTGTATACTCGACACGTATTCCAGAGGTCTAGGGTTCGAGTCCCGGCGAAGGAATTAAACATTTTTCACGTCTCCTGCTTCAAAAAACCTAATAACTCTACACTTGTAAATGAAAAAGAAATGAAACATATATCTTCATCACTTTACTCTTTTAATTTTGAATTAATAGTAGCTGTTAGAATGACGCAGTGTGAAGTCAGCGTACCACAACCGAGGGGAAAATGAAGATTAACAAACTTGTTTTCATATTTTATTATAATATATCCCACAATTCGTTATTTATATTATTTACACAAATATTCATTAATACAAATACTCGTTACATAATACTTTAGAATTTGATCCTAGTCTTCACAGACTATGTATTATCTGAGATGCAAGCAGCAGTTCTCTCTCTCGTGTATTTGTTCATTTAAGAGCTTCAATTTAGTTGCGAAATGATTTCTAAGATTCAACACCATTTGAAAACTCCATTCACCATGTTCTTGTGCTGCACAGTTTAAATGAGAATGATAACGATACTTCATTGTGACACATATATTCACGTTTCTCTAATAATGGGATGGACAAAACTATGAAAATTCAAGTAGTTACCAGCTTCAGTCATAAATGAGCTCTCTTGCTTCTGCTTCCAAAATGAGCTAATTATTGAAGAACATGCCGAAATAGTGAACGAATTGGATAAAGTCATATTTACAGTATTCGACCATCATTATAACTGGCATTCATTTTCCCAATCTGTGGGCTCTACTTCTTCAACAACTCTTACGAAATTTTCAAAAGGACAAAACTCCTCACACTTCGGAAGCTTAAGTACGTGAGGTATTTGATCGCCATTTTCAGGACTTGTAGAATTGAAATACAACAGCCGGACGCTATTTCCCTCTCGTTCTTTATAAAGCTCAAATATGATTGTTGCACAGAAGGGAGGCTCTTTCTTATTGTATACATCTAAAGCTCCAAGAACTGCAGTTACAGTTTTCTTATGCTGGAAGAAAAAAAAAAAAAGAAAATTTTTAACATGTAAAATTACATATATTCAAACACATACAAGATGATCAAAAAATAATTTGACGCACAAATTTAGACTGTTCTGAGCATAGAATGCGATAAATTGTTGCTACATTTGTAAAGAAGGACGAAATACGAGTATATAGTATTCGAAGCAAAAAATAGAATAAGTATGATGGTTACAGCTTACGTAACCATTGTAGTGAATTGTTTAACCATATTGGTCGAATATCAAACTTTTTTTTTATGTTTCATGCTTACAGAAAACTAAGACATTTCCTGTTGAGGATCTTGTGGGGTTCTGTTTATTTTTGCCAATAGTTATTTTATTTTCCGACCCTTTCCTGAACTTTTTTTATTTCCCCTCGCGTTTCCTCACTAGAATGTAAATGAAGTAGGGTGGAAGAGAGTATTTAAACTGTAGGAGCGAAAGTTTAGACGGAACATATTTTTGCTATTGGGAGCGTGCGTTTGTTAGTTATCCAACTGTTAATCTTAATAGCGAATACGCATTCTTGCCGTCGAGTTAGTTTCCTGCCGGTGTAGGTTTCTGAGTCAATATGTTAGTTTAAATTGAGTTGTTTAGTCTTGAACGACTCTTTTCTTTTAAATTTAGTGTTGCATTATCTTTTAAGTTCTCACCGCAAGTGGTCGGTGTTTTGTGTAAGCACTGAAATCCGTGCCAAATCTTAAATATTTTGTATTCAATAAAAGGGTCACTTACACCTTCCATGGTTGTGTTCATCCTCAATCCTGTGCGAGAGTTCGCTCTGATCACACTTAGGTAGATCTACTCACATTGAATGATAATTAAACGTACTGGATGCTACAATACTTAGTTTTCTTTTCTAGTATTCTTTTATAATTTTCTCAATTGAAAAAGGCTCTTCCATTGCATAATTTTTTACCCTTTGCAGCTCGGTGTGCTCGCTCTGGGCACACCTAAAAATTTCCTTCTGTATGCACAGAAAAATTGAATGAAAAAGGATTTATACGTTACTACAGGTTACCCTGAACCTTCTTTATTTATAGCAGATAGCAGCCCAACACAAACCGGTCCATATATTTTAGCCATGTTTAATATTTAAAAACCCTTTTTTGTTTGTTTTCGGATAACGAATCTGATATGGATCACGGTACATGCAATGTTGGGCTGCGCTTTTTCAAAGGTGGTGTTACTTTCTTCGAAAAGTACCACCATGAAAAAATAGACGAAGGTGTAAATATTATTACGAAATGTACAGGCGCGGTAAGATGGCTTTCCCGCAAAACAGTTTTAGGGTTGCAATAAAATGGCAAGAAAAGACAGAATTGCCACATTTGGCGAGAAATCACCCATTTGGCGATATTTGGCGACAAAATTGGCGATATACCATGGACGGATGGAGAACATTCTGGAACGAATTCTTACCGGTTTAGCCGCTACACCACAGGCCGAGAGCTATATAAACCCTGCTGGTCCGCAGTCAGTTAGAATCGAGTGTGTGCCTCGTCGAGAGGGCGAGTCAGAGTGCCTCGTCTAGAGTACAAGATAGTTAATTATCGAGTTGCTGTCTCGTCTAGCGAGTCAATCCCTGCGGAGTCGATCGAGTTGACAGTCGGGCAGCGAATGCCGAGTGGGTCGTCGAGTGCATCGAAGAGTCTCTTAGTGTATCGCGGTTAGTGCATTGTCGAGAGAGCGTGTTAAGCTCCAGGAATGACTGCACCGAAGAGTCGGGAGCTGTGCTCTGCGTGCATCGCGAGTTGTAGCGTGGAGAGTCTCGAGAGTACGTGGAGTTCCGAGAACAACGGAGCAGAGTCGGAAGCTGTACTCTGGTGCTTTGCAGTGAAGCTGTCTTCACCGTGATAGCCTGATAACCTGAAGGCTGTGTCGCTGATTGTGTCAGCGTGTTTATAGTAGTTCTTCGACGACTGTAACGTGATTTTGGAGCTGTCCTGATTAGTACTGGCTAAATAAAGTGTGTTTTGATACTTCATAAAGTGTCGTCGTTATTCACTTCAAATCTACGAACCCCGTACGAACGTGCAGGAAGAAAATAACAACTGGTGTCAGAAGGAAGAAGAACGTAAAATATGAAATGTAAATAATGTAAATATGATATAGCCAAGTTACATTTTTTTTTTCATTTATACGCATGTAATCACCATATAACCAAGAAGAGCTTTTTTAGGGGTCGTAGAGTTGCAGGCCTCCCCGTGGGACACCCTGGGTAACGCTAAATCTGCTACGGTATTCAGAATCTAGTGAATCGTAGGCAAAATCTATTTTACGCGCTTTTCAGCAATGCTTGTTTCAGCACTCTTTACGAAGCTCTGTTCATTCAGTATGCCCGCTTCGAGCATACCCACAAAATTAAAACTACAAGTGCTATCTTCACAAAATTTTACCTGTGTACTCTTCCAGGCCTGATTAGACTTCCTACCTTTACTTTGTCGAAATTCCAACTTTAAAAGGTAACGTGCCTGAAAGGGTTAATACTGTCATTGAAATTTAATTCAGTTTTCATGAGAAAACTGTCCAGTTTTGGAAAGCATTACATGTCATTCTCTTTGACGTATGATGACTACTTGCTAAGTTTGGAAACTAATCTATAACTAAAAGTATCTATATATTTTTTAGATGATAAACATTAGTCAACTAGTGTAAGTACTTTATCATTTTCTTTTGGAATTTTTATTTTGACTAGCGGAACTCTGGGGTTTGACTCGCTGAACTGCGGGAATCCGACAAACACAATTCGAAAATCACTGGTCTAGTTCAATGATCCGAAACTTCATTATCGATTTCCTCATTATACGGAAGTTTTGGATATTCTTCTTCTTGAATGGTGTAATAATCATATCTAAATGTTCTTTCAGTTCCTTGTCATATTTTTCAGGGTCAAAATCATTTTCGATATAATTTTCATCAAGGTTCAATCCATCTTCTTCAGGCAATTTTGATAAAAACCGTTCTGCAGAATTTTGCACATTGTGATCTGGAAACATGACTTTTTTTAAGTTCTCCAGAAGTCTTCAGTAATCACACTTCCAATTCCATTTTTTTAAAATTGGAAAATTTAAAAAAATTTTTTTAAAAGAATTATTTTAAAATTAAACTATTTTAAAAGAATTATTTTCTTGCCATAAGATTATCTCCAGATCTTTCTGATGCTTCCATAGGTTGCATTCATGGCGGAGCAGTATATCTTTATACCTAGCCCTCTAATTGACCCGGGTATTCGCTAAGAAATCGAATTTTAAAGAACTGCCTTGAAAAAGAATTATTTATTGATTTTAATGTCAAAATGGCCCTGGTACTTTATACCTGGATTTATGTACTCTTAATGTATTGACTTAATTTCTTTCACATATTTTAAGATGCACGTATATATATGTTTATGCAGACATCACAAAAAGTATTCTAGGCCGTTTTTTTCTATTAAATAACAAAACGTATCTGTACCGAATTTTTAAAAAAACTTGCTATGAAATATTATTCTGTGTGTATTATCATCGTAAATAAATCCATGCGAAATATTATCAACAAAATTAGGTGGTTAAAAAGGAGTCAAAAATTAATTTCAAGATTTAATCTGAACAGAGAAGCTAACAAAGAGAGGTGCCCAATTAAATTAAGCCGTGATATCTATACTTCAAGCTTAAGTTATTTGCTTCCGTATTTCGTTTTGAACTCAAACTCAAAAATAATAACATTTTAAACGCATTATTATTTAGTGTCAAATTTGTTTACCTTTTGAAAATATAAAATATGCATTTAAATATTTATCTTCTTGAAAGACCATTTTCATGATACAGTAAATTACTTTGAAAATACATTAATATAAAATTCAGTAGAAACATACTCACCCCTGAATAAACATGTACTTTCCTAGATCTACCGTCAATTCTATGTTCCATTTTCTTTTTTATGTAACCCAAGAGCGGCCCTGTGATTAAGGCAAAAACATAGTAAATAACAAATTAGAGCCACATTTAACTTATCTTTGTAAATGTCTTCTAAACAATTTTATTAAAACCCTTAAATTAATGAACAGCATTGCTTTGTGAGAAAAGCCTAATGTCCATTCTGAAGAAAATACGCATTCATACATCTTAAATTCACTGTTTCTATTTCGTATGAGAAATAACATAGCTTTTCTAAACAGCAGTTTTTTTTCCCTAGTCCAAAGAGGCTTTGTCCCTGAAGGACTATTGTTTTCGTTTTGCGATTTTGCGTGGGTTCACTATAAATGTCCGTTTCACTTTTCAAACCGTTGCCACCAAATGTTAGAGTCCTGCATTATGTTTGAAGAAATTAAATAATGAAAAATCTGCATAAATGTATGTATATTTCTCGCATTGTGATAAAACAACGGTACATAGAGTTATTGAATTTTGAATGACGTAATCCTACTGCGAATATGGGCATCTGGAAGCCCAAATTTGAAATTTGGAATTTGTTTTATAATCGATTTCATATTTTGTAAATATTTAACAAATTTTTATTAACAAACTTAAGGATTTCAAAACGAGCGATGGCAACGTTGTACAGAAAAAACACTTTTATCTCCGGCGTGTGAGACTGCGTATCGGAAACTCTAAAGGTAGGCTCAATTTAAATCTATTTTTGCGATATTGCTCTTGAACTGAATTTTATGGTTTAAGTGCGAAGAAAGTGATGTTTAATAAAGAAAGCTAACAGACAAAAGGTTAAATAAACGCCGCTTTGGACGTAATTTAAAATCTAAAAACCCTCTCAGTTTTTTTTTTTTTTTTTTTTTTTTTTAACAGGAAAGCTACTCAAACTGAATGAGTAGAGACATTAGGAAATTCGGATACTTTAAGCAATTTTCATTCCAAATATAAATAGAATATTGAATATTAAATAAGGCATGCAAAACGTAACGCTCCGTAAATGTAAACATTGATCAGCAGAGTGCGTCCAAGGCACACATATATATTTGATGCTGAGAGACGTGAAAAATGAGCAATGCCCTCGCCGGGACTCGAACCTCGGACGTTTCGAATACACGCCGAGTGTGCTGCCATTACACCACGAAGGCGGGAGAAATACCTTATATACTCCCGCGTTTAAAGGGGACTGGGGATTAAGGGACCTAATTGCCAAATCTTGGTGGTGAAGAATCATCATCCACTACTGTAGAGACATTAAGATATTTTTGAAACAGGTGACATGAAAAATGAGCAACGCCCTTGCCAGGACTCGTCGAACCTGGGATCTCTAGAATACGCATGGAGCGTATTGACCATTACACTACGAAGCCATGTTAAGAAGGCGAGAGAAATACATTATAAATATAACCAGGAAATGTATAATATTCTGAAAAGCAGACTGTCGATATTTTGCTCCCAAACGACAAACTTTTGTTGAACGGATTTTTTAACACATTTAAAATATCCAGTGTGATTTGAGGTAACATCTATTTACTATTATTCGATTATGTGAGAAACAATCGGTGAGAAGAAACGCAGATAGAGATATTTCAGTATACCAGACGTTTAAACCAAACGTCTGGTAAACGGTTTTGTGAGATTACTGCAAAGCCTCCAGGGCTTTCTGCCTAAGGGAAGGGATGCCTTGGTGAAGGATTTTCTAAGGAAAACTGACTCGTATACATGTTACACATGGGGGGGAAACCATGAAAATGAAACCAACCCGTTAGCGGGATTCGAACCTTGGACTGAACTACGAGTGTTCAGCAGCTTTTACTGCTCGGCCGCTGATGGGCCAATGTACCGGAGAGTTCATTCTCAATGACTTGAGCTTGTTGTTGTTGCTAATGCTCATTTGTCTAACTTATAGTCAGCCCAAACCCACAAAATTCCTTAGTGGCAAGGAGCGCAAGTCTACGCCTCTTCGTTGGCAACACCCTTGAATACCTTACAAGTGACAGTGGGATTTATCTCAGTTCCGCCCCCAATTTTTATGGACAGCACCCTGTAGGGACTAGGCCGAGGGTCTCTCACTATATATTCTTGCAACCAATTATCGAGATATGCAAGAGTTATATCTCGAGAGTTAGTTGCAAGATATACTCTCTGTACTCAACTCTTTATACTCTTGTAATCAACCTCTCGAGAGGACTTTTGGCTCTCCGCATATTTAGAGCGCCTCCATGCTGCACGGACACTATACATTTACAAACATTCATAGCCTTCTCCGGGATTCAAAGCCGGGGCCTTCCGCATGGCAGTCAGCTACGCTAACTAGTATTCCGGTTGAGCGGCTTTGCGATTAGGTACTGAAAGGATGATAGCATTTAATTTTAATCCATTTCTACCTAAAAAAATTAAGTTTGCAAATTTCCATTTCTTTTGCAGTTTACCTTCAACAGAAAATTTATCATGTCTCACAGTTATTGAAAATAAGGATGAATGATGCCGCCCACCCCACTGGCTAGGGACTCTGACTACCGTAACGAAATGCCCGGTTTTGAATCCCAGAGAAGGCATGCATGTTTATAAATGTATAGTGTATGTGCGGCATGAGGGCACTCTAAATATTAGGGATAATGGAATAGGGATAAATAGCCAAAAGTCCATTCGAGAGGTTGTTGATAGGAGTGGGAGGCCCTCGGACCCATGTATTCTCTTTTAAAACTGGAGGCGGAACTGAGCAAAGTCGTACTGCCACCTGTATAGTACCCGAGGTATGTATGGCGCCAAAAGCAGGCGCAATATTATCTCCTAGCCACGATGAATTTCGTTGGTTTTGTCTGATATAAGACAAGCGAGATTCGTCGCTATAACAACAACAAAAATGTTGAATAATTCTCTTAAGAACTATATACAGTTTTCTTATAATATACTGAAATTTAAATAATATACCGAAAGCCCCCTTCCTGTAACGAAGTTTCATTTGATCTCTCTCAATAAGACCGACTAAACACAAACGCATCACTATAACAGGTTTAATGTGCCTCTGAATAACGACGTACGGTTTCTTCGCTTGTCATAGCACGTTTCAGAAAATGTTCACGTTAAAGCCAAAGCTGTACATAAACACAGCTGTGTGATAAGCAAACTGGCAAACATTTATATTCCTACGTATGTTACCTTCTCAGGACTTTGAAAATTTTAAGCGAAGTTGACATAGTTTGACTACCTATGTTTCGGAAGGTAAGACTTCAGAAAGCGATTTCTCAAGGCGAATATCTCTTTAAAAACAACTGAACAAATAATGATTTGTGTCAGCTTATCCTTCGTACGTTCAGTAACCTAATATTAGAAAGCTAACGCAAAAGAGAGTATATGGGAAGGTGTGTCCACTCTTATTGTCGTAACAAAGCATTCGTCGACATTTGTTCAGGCATTGAAGTTCGCGTAGGCTCCACGACATTACAATCGGTTATCTAGAACAGCTCCTTGAGAGAACATATTGGACGAAGTTAATGGTCTTACTGTCAACACTATTAATAATCAGATTGGGGATAAAAAGACTACTTTTTCATTCCTCCCCTGAAATAAGTAACATATAAATTCCATATATTTGCTGTTAAAACAACATTTAATAGCAAAACTTTAAAGAATTTGATATGTTTTATTAATTAAGCCATCGAATATTTCTTTCTTATTTATTCATTTTCCACTGTTCGAGTCCCGGAGTTCGAATTCTCCCCTAAGAGACAGTCAGAGAGAGAGAGAGAGAAAATATCATAATTATTTCTAACCATAGGAACTTTTTCGTGTCTTTCCAAAAAAGAATCTTTGGATTTTATTTGGAATATCTCTTCTATAAGCAAGGGGGTATAAGGTATTTTCTCCCTCCTTCCAGCATGCCTTCGTGGTGTAATGGTAGCACACTCGGTATGTATTCGAGTGGTCCAGGTTCGAGTCTCGACCAGGGCATCGCACATTTTTGACCTCTCTTGTTTCAAATTAAACTGATGGCTCTACAGTGGCACCCGAATTTAAAGGTTGTGGAGAATAATTCGTTACCAGCAGGACTTGGCGATTGGGTCCCCTCATCCCCAGTCGCCGTTTAAAAGGGATAGAATATAAGGTATTTTCTGCTTCCTTCCAGCATGTTTTCGTGGTGTAACAGTAGCACATTCGGCGCGTATTCGAGAGGTCAAGGTTCGAGTCCCGGCGAGAGTATTGTACATTTTTCTCTTCTCCTTCTTCAAAAAAACCTGATAACTCTGCAAGGGATATATGGATTCACAAAAAATGGAATAGGGATAAATGGATCGAAATACTTGGATGTATAGATGCTTTTATTTTGGGGATGGAACTTAATACTACCGCTACAGGTAGTTCTTGTTTGAAATTATGGCAAATGTTACATCTTTTGCGAAAATGTTTTAATGAAGTGCTTCTAAGCAGAACATTGTGTTTGAAGTTTCTATAAACGCTATCTCTTTATTGGAGGTTGAAAGAGCTGCAAGTAAGGTAGATTACGTACTGAAACTTAATTACTCTAATATAATCTGATCTTACGGAACAACTGACTCCCACGGAAGAAAATAATCGCCTGTGTCCTTGAAAAGTTTCCAAAATAAATATATTTGACAATTATATTTATTGTGACATTATTCGCACTGAAATCATACTGGAATAAAACTTTTACCCCCAAAAATGCATGAAATCTCCCTACCTGCTCTCAGTCTTTGATACTTTTTAGATTGTACACGTAGGTAGCAAGCTGCGTGATTTATGTAATCCAGTTCTTTCCAATACTGAGGTGCCCAGGAAGGTATGGTGAAATTATTTGCTTTCTGAAAAAAAAAATATTCAATTACAATAAAATAAATAAAATACTATAATCATTCAATAAATCTGAATAATCATTCAATAAAAGTATAATCATTCAATAAATCTGAATTTATTATGCCGTTTCAATTCAAATTATGCCGTTTCAATAAGAACCTTAAAACGTAGTGAGCAAATGATTGTTTATTTAAATGCTTATGGTAAAGCACTGAAACACTATTTGTCTAATATAGGAGATGTCTTAAGGCAGGACATTGTAAGGGAAACTGGCTGGTACTGCATATGGGAAAAAACGAAAATGCGCATACAACCAAATTATTCTTGGAAACTGAACCAAGTCGAAACTGTCAGCTGTTATCGACTCGGCCACTAGCAGCTCTGAAACGCTAATGACGTTTACAATGAAGTTTGTAATACAAAAAGTATTAATTAACAATTGCCTTTCAAAAATGTGTAAAAGTTTGTTGCTTCTGGAGAAATATTTGGGCATCAGGAAACATTATTTGGCAAGAAATGGGGATGAACGGGAAATTCGGTTTAAATCCAAAAAGCAAACCATGACGTTTTTGCAAGGTATTACGTTAAAGTTCGATGAATGGTTTCGTAAAATGTGGAGGTGTTAGGTAAATGACGAAGTAGGTGTTTGGTGTATTTAATTATGGGAAAGCACACTAGGGCTATCTGCCTAAGGGGTGGGATGCCTTCGTGGAGGACTTTCTAAGGGAAACTGACTCGTATACACGTTACACATGGGGAAAACCACTATGACGAAGTAGGAAAAAGGATGCTTCAACCACATGTTTTGAACTTGTGTTGAGAACGGCACATGAATAGGCCTTATGAATTTCTGTTAGTAAAATTTTTAACGCGCAAATGTGTAGCAATAGCTGTAAAATGGAATAGCGAACGAATTTAAAGTTCTTTTTCAAGCTTTGTAAATCTGCGCAAGAGTGTTATGTCAATGCTAAAAAAGGTTTACGAAGATTAAAAGCCCTTTCTTTAAAGCGTGTTTACGAAGAGTTTAAAAACTTTTTTTGACACTGAACTGTATTGAAAACAGCGCTTGAAATTGCAAGCCTAAGGCTTCTCGTAATGACGAAAACATGGAAAAACTAAAGAAGAAAGAGTGACAATGAATGCTGACACCTCCAAGGATGTTTGGGCAAATTTATTGCAAAGGATCCGTCGTTGTCCCCCCAGAATACGCCAACACGAGATCTTGGTTCCTTCTCCATGGTAATGCCCTCCCACATTCGGCCATATTGTGAAACACCTTTATGGTCTCCAGAAGAACTGTATTCCTCGAGCATCAACCGTAGTCGCCTGACCTTTGCTCCAGCAGACTTCTTTCTGCTCCCGTACATGAAACGAGCCTCAAATGAGAACGAGGTTTGGCAATTCCAGATATTCAACAAGGTTTCTCCAAGCTATACTGCAAGGGCACTTTCAGGAACTGTGCCGTTGTTGACAGAAGTTGAGTGTAAACGAAAAGCATTACTTCGAATGTATACTAAACGGGTTTTCCGGTTTAGGTAAAAACGTTTAAAATGAGCATATTCTCCAAATACAGTTGTCATGCCACGTATTTTTACATTTACTAGAAACGCCTCGAGGAAAAATACAGATAGAAATGCACTAATACGCTGGTGGACACTTGCTAAGGACAGGTCACAGTAGCAGTGATAGCAACCACAAAATGAAAAGCAGGAAAATGTGGAAATTAGCATAAGTGCGGGATGCAGTAAGACGTGTTGTACGTATGTAAGCCGAAGTTGTGCGTCACGTGATAGCGCTGATAAGAGATATAAAGGATTTGACTGGTATTGACTGTTGTTCAAAAGCAAAATTTAACGGGAAAAGATCAATTAACGAACTTGGTGAAAAAAAGCAGATGTTGCTAGGGTTTTCAACGTCAGCCACAGTGTTGCTTGAAGTCTGTAAATCATGTCAAACGAATGCACTGTGTAGCATATGCGACGAGGGAGGTCGTGATCGCAGTACGACACCTGCAGAAGATAGGTACTTAGTGATATCAACAAACAAAAAGTAACCGGTGCAGCACAGCTACCTGAGGTATCAAATCAGTTACTTCCTGCTACTGGCAAACAAAGCTCCAAGAAAACTGTAGCCAGACATTTGCATCAAGGAGGACAATACGCCCGCCGCCCCGTTTTATGCATTCTATTGCTTAAATATCCCCGTTTCACCCGTTTGCAATGATGTCGTCTGCATCGCAATTGGAAAGAAGACGACTGGGTTTGCGTACTGCTCTCAGATGAAGATAGGTTCAGTCACTCGTCTGATTGTGGACGGTAATAGATGTGACGTGAGAGTAGTGCATAATAGACCGGCAAACATACATGAAAGGGAGCGATATCCTACATGTAGTGTCATGGTAAAGGCTGGGATAATGATCAATGGCCGCACGTCTCTATATGTTCTTACAGCTGAAACTATGACTATCCAACCATACATTAATGACGTTCTACTACCTCATGTTCGCATGTTCCGTGGTGCTATCAGTGATAAATTTATTTACATGGATGTTTGTTTACATGTTTAATGTTCCGCGCTCATATGGCTTCTGGTGTTTATCAACGAGATAATATACTGGTAGAGAGCGTATTGCGACCTTCAACCGGTTCCAACATTAGTGTCACGTGACTGCTGCGCGAATTCCGAAAGTGCGGAAATACTTTACATTGCTTTCTACGGGACGAAAGACTGCTGCTCTGCTGGTCACATAAAATTTAAGTAAAAATGGGTTATTCGCTGCAGCGCTACGGATGTAAAAGAAGTTTCGTGAAAGGAGGACTTGTACCTTTCATAGGTAGTTAAAACTGCATGATTTATTATTTTATTTTCAGTATTTTGTTCATTTTACTATCTCTGTTGAATTGGTTGGAAAGTTTCAGCCATACTGTATAAGAAAGTTGCCGCCGATATGACATTTTCAGCATGTATATTAGCATCAAAATGTATTAAATACTGTGACACTATTTACTGGAATCACCCTTTACAAATAATTGAATTTTATATGTTTTTTTCCGTGTATTCCGTGAAATAGAAAGCTGCGCAATTGGCGTTAACCTTTTTTCGCCAAGTCGTACGCGTTTTGATTTCATAAACAATTACTGCCTGCGATAAAAAAAAAAGAAAACGCTATTATTAGCATTAAATTATGAGAAAAGATTGTGCGATATGTTTACTTTGTTAAAAAAAAAAAAAAAAGCATCTTGATTCAGCAACATGAACATAAACAGTTTAAACAGCATATTTTAAAAATCAGATTACTTTTATAAAGCTCAATGCTTTATCATTATTTTCTAAATAATGATAAAGCATTGAGCTTTATAAAAATCAGATTACTTTTATAAAGCTCAATGCTTTATCATTAAGCATTGAGCTTTAAAAAAGTAATCTGATTTTATAACGCTCAATGCTTTATCATTATTTTCTATAAATCAATTAAAATAAAAATAATCTGGATTATAATTCTGTATCATCTACGATGCTGTTAGAAATTTATTGTAATTGAAAAATGCGATGTGAAAAAACTTACCATATTTTTAAATAGTATTAAAAAAAAAAAAAGGAGAGAGAGAGAATTTTAACTGTATATCGTTTTGATCCTAATAATAAATACTGAGTTGAAGTTTGTTACCGTTTGATACATTTTCAATATAAAATAATTTTTATAGTTAATAAGATGTATTGATCCCCCCATGACATACCATGAGTGTGGAATGTGGAAATCAGTAATTAAGATGCATTATTGGTTCCAGTAATATAATCTCAAGAAAAGAAAGGCAATCAATGCATAAATACATATAATACAATGTGATTTTCTTTTTCTCTTAGGATGCAATGCATTAAAATTAAACGAGATTTTTTACCTTCTAAAATATTATAACAGTAGTGCAATTAATTTTTTAACGTTATTCAAAATTAAAGTTTCCATCTCAATTTTTTATATTTATTTTAGATTTTCTTCCTAAAATTATTTAAATAAACATCTAAACAATGGTGCAAATAAATTTAAAGCAATATTAAAATATAGATAAAATATTCAGGAAAAAAAGGGTTAAGTTATATCTAAATATACTTGTAAAAAATCGAACAACCTAATTCGAGGCCGTTGTCTGCTGACCGCTAGCAGACGGAAATAAAAAGTACTACTGCCATATCAAAAGCGGCCAAACTGGCGAGAACAGCCTAAGCTATCACTCCCCAAGAGCGCCAACAGCATTAGTCACGTGGTGTATGTTGGAGACACCCTAGCAGACGAATTCTCTGTGGGTGAGCCGTCTACCTGTTATATGAAGTCGTTGGTGTTTATCAGCAAAAACCCCCAACAAAGTGTGATTTGAGGTCATAGATATTACTGAAATTTTTATCATTTAAAAATTTTTGTAAACTTTGGAATAAATGATAATGCCATGGTCCAAGGTAGGGACTATGTGGGAGATGCGACGTCACTTCACAAGCAAGTTACAATAATTTCGAACTGTTGCTAAAGATGTGTGAGATCTCGCATTGTTGTGATGGAACACGAGTCCTTTGCGATTTTCCAATTGTAGCCTTTTATCTTTGATTGCTTCCTCCAGTTTCATAAGTTGTTAGCTGTAAATATCTGAGTTAATCTTCTGGTTGCTTGGAAGCAACTCAAAATACACAACGCCTTTATAATCCCACAAATTGACAGCATGATCATTTTCCGATGCAATTTAGCATTCAGTATGATTTGTGCCGATTTATCATGATTTTTTTCGATTAATGTTATTGTAGACGATCCATTTTTAATCACCGGTGATAATTCGTTTAAATAAAGGTCGATTGCATTACGTTTGAATTGCGTACCCCAAATACTGATTCGTTGTGTTAATTGAATTTCTTTCAATTCATGTGGAACCCAAATATCCAGCTTCTTAACGAGTTCAAGATACCTTATGTGATTTCACATTGTTGTTTGTCATACATTCAACCTTTTTGCAATATCTCGCACAATTATATGACAATTTGATTCAATTACGGCTTTAATTTGACATCATCAATTTCAAAAGGTCGACCAGAATGTTGGTCAACTTCAAGTGAAAAATCTCCAGATCAAAATGTTTCAAACGATATCTGACACATGCGTTCTGTTAAGCAATCAAAACTATAAACTTCGTATAGCTCTCTGGGAGCCTCAGCCGCTTTCTTGCCTTTATGAAACTAAAATAGTAAAAATAGATCCAAAATGTTTATTTTTGCACCCCGTGTTAAAACTGACAATTGTAAATAAAAATAGACGAAATTTATTTCTATAGTAACCTAAAAGTGTCAGCTGCCAAATCTCAAAAGAAAAAAAATTTATAAGATTGACAGAAGGAAAACAAACGAACATAATTTCTGTTCGTCCAAATTGAAATTGCTTTCTTGCCAACCCAATACCATATGCTTAGAATTAAGTTTTTAACGTGCATTTAATTGAAGCTTACTTCTATAGCTAAAATCTCCGCCAATTCTTCTGCATCTGTCAAAGAGCCAATTTTAAATCCACTGAAATGTTGTAAATCCTTGAACATTTCCTAAAAGTAAAATGAGGAAGTTACACAACAGAAAAAGTTTTGTTAAAATTTTAAAGTTTCTTGAATGAAAGATCTGAAATTTTATGCATTCCACATCTAAATCAAAACAATAAAATAATTAATTAACAGATGCATAAATATTCAGTCGACAAGAATTCTCGTTCTTAGAATATAACAAATCATTCATTACATTTATAAATAGATACATTATTCAATGCAAAAAATGTAAGATTTTTTAAATATGAAATACTATGATATGAAAGTATGAAATATGAAATGTTTTAAAATATAAATTTGATACGAAAATTTGGAAAATGTGACCTTTTCTTTTAATCTTACTGTTCCTAAGTAAAATGTTTTTAAGGAAATGTGTAAAAATGTGTTTCAAACTGAATACTTCTGTGCATTAAAACTTTTATTTATCTTTAAATAAAAAATGATCTTTATTCTTGAAACGTTTGGTTCCCTAAAACCGGCCCAGCATAAATATTGGATTGAAAAATGAATGGGCAGTAAAAATATAATCAGCTCAAAATTGCAATGAAAAATAAACAAAGGTAATACAGATTAAAAAGAGGATTTTATAGCTGCGTAATTTAATCAGAAAATAATGAAACAATTCACCTTTCATTCGACGTAATTTCAATAAATAATTTATTTAACAAGAACCTATCACAATAGTGTTACGAAAACGTCGCATAGTGCAACAGAAGCTGAGAGAAATACAGAATGCATTATTTGGGCATAACTTTCGCTAGACCGAAGAACAAAAAATAGAGACAGAAGACTTTTCGACGCAGCTTTCTTATTTGAAAGAAAAGGCTAGTATAAATGAATGAAATTATTACATATATCAATTTCCATACTCCAATTCCACACTACGCCATTGCTCGCAGCGAATTTGTGTTTAAGAAAATGTACAGCCGCCTTTCGATATGCCTTCATGCATTTATCCCTCGTTTTATAAATTTAGGTTGTAGGGTTTATATTTATTTTAACTAACATTTATTTTAAGCTATCTTTCCTGTCAAGCCTTTACTTTTCCCTAGAATTGCCAATGCCAGAGTATGTAAATTGTAGTAGAACGCGCAGTCTATACAAATTTTAGCAGAAGAAAGTTGAGTTTAAATAGAAGGGAAACAAGATTGTATGTGTGCTTCTTGAATCGCAAGCGTGAAGGTTGCTAGGTAGAAATTAAGAACTGCGCGTTTCGGCCTGTGTGCCTATTTCGGCAGTTCATTGGAATCTTCAACTGCTTAATCAGTAAGCTTGCTGAATCTCAGCTGTATCTTAGAACGCAGTTAAGTTAGTTACGAATTTAGAGCCTCGTAGGTAGTGATCTCGTTATTTATTCATGCTGTCATTTATTTTTAGTTTCACCTTTCTGTTTTGTTTTTTAACCGCCGGGTCGGCGTGTAGTTTGTGAGCGTCAAGTGTGACGCAGCTGTTATTTCTAAAGTGGAATAAAAAAAAGGGATTTAAACCCTTCTTACGAGTTGTGTAATTTACAGTTCATAGCAGTCACTACCACTGTTGCTGACAAGTTGGGGCCTCGCAACAACATTATATTGGCGCCCGAACATCTTACGAACTTAGATGGCCGAAAACTGGATGGAAGCTCCTGTACAACTCCAACAGCAAGAAATGGCGAACCAGTTAGAAGGATTTGGATACCTGGTCCAAACGATGAGAGCATCTATCAAGCCAAACGTCAATTTCGACGGAAAAAAATTCGGTGGCGATATTTTTAGAAGGCCTCGAAAATCACTTCCAGTTATACCCTGTGCCTGAAAGACAAAAAGTTGCCATTGCCACGTCTGCACTAAGAGGACAGGCCTCACTATGGTGGAAGAGTATAGGGAAATTTTTATTAGGAGAATTCGGAGGCCAAACATATACCTTTGAAAATTTCAAAATATCATTATTAAAGGCCTTCCCCATAGTGAAAGACCGAGCAAAGCTAGAAGCCGAACTGTATAGTTTTTATCAACGTAATATGGAAGAGTTGACGGACTTTATTCTGCGAAAAGTTAAGCTGACGGATATGCTGTATGGAAAGAAACCTGACACGGAGATAATTGAAATAATCTTACCAAGATTGCTACCTGCTGTCCAAGATTACTTCGAAATCCAAGCACCTTGCAGGATCTCTTCGATTTGGCGGTCAAGTTCCAAAACCGAAGAATAGTGGAAAATTCTAGAGGGGCATCGTATTCTCAAGGCCCCCGCAGGCAATTCTCAAATCAGCAGACCGGAAACACAAATCGCTCTTATGAGGGAAAGAGCTATCAAGCCAACTCATCGAAGCTAGAAGGTCAAGGCGCAAAAAGGAAATTTGAAAAAAAAAAACGTCCGCGTACCCAAAAGACTGAAGTTGAAAGGAAAGCTTTAAACGAGTAGAGGGGCCTGTAAAAAAGCGAGGGTCCAGACCCCGGAAGTTTCGAAAAAAACCCTCAAGAAGATACTTAAACACGGTCGTGGTAAAGAATTCCCAATTACCAATTATACAAGTCCTGGTTGGCGATGTACCAGTAGAAGCCCTCATTGATACAGGGGCAGAAGGTAATTTTATGAGTGATACATTTTGAGTGATAAATTTTTCAAGAAGAATTTTAATAGGTTACGATTGTTTTAAAAATAAAAAACACAGAAATTATAGCGGCCCAAGGAAAAAACCTGTCAATGTATCGGGAAATTATCATTAAAAATACAGATAAAAGATGATGAAGCCTTAAAGTATTAATTTTTGTGGTGAAAAATTTGCAGAATCCAGTCATCTTAGGCATGGAGTTTTTAAAGGCCGCGAAGGCCAAGCTAAATTTTCAGGAGAATTCGATTATGCTGGAAATGGATCGGAGGGTGGTGGAGCCAGTGAAACAACCGCAGGTAGATCTTAGCCATTTGAGTGTCCATGAAAGCCAAGCCATCCAGCAAGTGGTGAGTACTTTTTCAAACTTGTTTTCAAAACGGCCTGGTAACTGTCAAATTGTAACACATGATATACAACTAACTGCCCATAAACCCTGTAGGACTAAACCCTACCGGTATGATAAACAGAAAGAGCAAATAATTGACGTGGTGTGTGTATTTAATTATGGCAAGGCACACTAGGGCTATCTGCCTAAGGGGAGGGATGCCTTCGTGGAGGACTTTCTAAGGGAAACTGGCTCGTATACACCAAATAATTGAGGAACACATTCAGGAAATGCTGCAGAACCAGATAATAACGCCCATAAATAGTGAGTACGCGAGTCCAGTCGTACTATGTAGGAAAAAGAACGATTTCCCTCCTTCGGATAAAAGGGCTTGGAGGTTTGCTATCGATTACAGAAAGCTTAATAGTATTACTAATTTCCCGGTTTACCCTTTGCCGGTAATAGAGGAAATTATTAGAAAGATTAAGTCTACGAGATACATGACTGCGTTGGACTTAACGTCTGGCTACTATCAAATAGCTATGAGACCCAAAGATATACATAAAACCGCCTTTATCACAAAATCGGGCATTTATGCATTTTTACGCATGCCCTTTGGGTTGTGTGGGGCTCCGTCAACATTCCAGAGAGCTATGGACATTGTTCTAAAGCCTGTCCTAGGAAAATCGACTTTAATCTATCTAGATGATATAATTATAACGAGTAGTACGTTGGAACAACATATTAAAGACTTGGAAGAGGTTTTAAATTATTAAAAGAGGCCGGTCTTACAATTAACGCATCAAAATGCAAGTTCGCGACTAAAGAACTTAAATATCTGGGTTATAAAATTTCGCAAAAGGGTATAGAAACTCAGGATTCAAAAATAAAAGCCATCAAGAATTTCCCACCTCCCAATACCGCCAAGAAACTTTCTTCTTTCCTTGGGTTATGTTCTTATTATCGGTCGTTCATAAAAGATTTCGCGAATATTGTTGAACCGTTGTTAGTAATTAAAAGAAAAAAAAGTAAGTTTACGTGGACAGCAGAAGCAAATACAGCATTTGAAAGGTTAAAAGAAGCACTCATCAATGCCCCTGTTTTGAAATTCCCGGAAGGGGACGAAAACCTGGAAATTGCAGCAGATGCGTCGGACTATGCCGTAGGTGCGGTTCTCATGCAGAATGGCCATCCTTTGGCATTTTTTAGTAAAACTTTAAATTCTACGCAAAGGAATTATACAGCTACAGAGAGCATTAGAAAACATTAGCCGTATTAATGGCTGTACAGAAATTTCGAGTTTATTTCGGCAAAGCGCCAGTAACAGTCTTTTCGGATCATGCGGCTGTTGGTAGACTTTACTCGGGGAAAAAAACCTAACGCCCAGGTTAATAAGATGGGCTTTAAAATTTCAAGAATATAACCTAATAATTAAATATAAACCAGGGAAAGAAAATAATGTAGCTGACGCACTATCCCGAATAAAACTGGACGATGAAGGGAATGAATTTAAATGCGCTGTGTTGACTTCTAAAATTTTAGATTCTAGAGAAACAATTATTGCTGAATTGAAAGCTGATTCTGAATTTGGAATTATTTATGCTTATTTGAAAGACCCCGAAAGCTTTGAGCACACAGATATCGCCGCGAATAAGAAATAGAGCAGAAAACTATGAAATAATAGATAATTTATTGTTTTATACGAAAACAACAAACGAAAATCTTGAGTACAGACCAGTCATCCCAGCCTCTCGCTTCGATTAAGCATTTTGAAGGAATTACACGACGCGAAAACATCGGGTCATTTAGGGGTCAGAAAGTGTTTAAAAAGAGTACGCGAGGCGGTATATTTCCCGCAATTATACAAAATAGTAACTGCGTATGTGTCAGGTCCTGCAATCAATGTCAATTAATAAATGATATTAATTACAGCCCGGCCGGGTACTTAAATAGCATTCGCGCTACATTTCCGAATGAAATTTTAGGCATAGATCTTCTTGGTCCTTTTCCCCAGAGTGAGTTAAATAAAAATCGTTTTCTTTTAGTAATTGTAGATCATTTTTCAAAGTGGACAGAAATTGTTGC